GATTCTTATTTCGGAAAAGGTAACTGCTTTGAATGTGACCAGTACACTCTGTCCAGCTCAGTTGTGCAGCCTTCGAGGCAAAAAGAGCCATTGATTTTATTATTATTACTACTGCCTACGTGCGAGATGCATATGTGGGCATACATGTCGGAGGTTAGAGAACAACTTTGGTGTTCTTGCCTTCCAGAGTGTGTTCTGCGGTTGGAACTCTGGTCATGAGACTTGCACAGCGAGCTCTTTGAACAGCTTAGCCATCTTGTTGGCCCTTAATTTTCTTTTAAACTATGTGAGTTTCCAAAAATGGAAAGAGAGTCTCATATTTTTTAATCTTCCAAATAACCAGTCACTGTATTTTGGTACTCCTGCTTATCTCTCTACCCCTTTGTGTCTGTAAGACTTTAAATCCCGGAGTTCTTATCATTTCAGTCCTGAACTCGGCGCGGACCTCCATCCAAAAACGACGTGTTTTTTTTTTTTTTTTTTTTTGTTTTGTTTTTGTTTTTTCAAGATAGGGTTTCTCTGTGGCTTTGGAGGCTGTCCTGGAACTAGCTCTTGTAGACCAGGCTGGTTTTGAACTCATAGAGATCCGCCTGCCTCTGCCTCCCGAATGCTGGGATTAAAGGCATGCGCCACCAACGCCCCTCAAAACGACGTTTTGAACCAAATCACAATGTTATTGTCATGCCTAACAAATTCCAATTTATGTAGAAATTATAAGTGAATGGATTTGTTGTTTGTGTGAGATGTCTCCCTATGTTCCCTGACTGACCTGAACTCACTCTGTAGATCAGGCTGCCCTCAAATCCTTGGTGATCCTCCTGCCTCTGCCTCCTCGGTGCTAGGATTTCAGTCAGGTATGTGCCACCAGGCCTGGTTTCAAGCAAATGGATTTTAAGCTTAAACTTACCCAGTGTTGTTGCCTGCATCCAGAACAGTGTTGCCTGAGTTCACAATGGGATAAAAGTGAAATTGAACTGCTAAAAGTGATAGGTTTTCTTCCCAAGAGCCACCACCTCTTTCTTTGGGTAGCATCGTAAGGTAAAGGTTTGCTATATTTCTCCCCAGCCATCCTTGGGGTCACTTAACGGTTGTTACTGAACACCTAAAGGGTCCTAAGCACAGTGCCAGGGTCATTCATGGCAAGTGTGTGGGGAAATCGTGTCCCCTAATCTGTTCAGACCTATGTGCTGATCCTCTCCTAGCAGAGTAAGATGGTGAAATCAGAAAAGAACTATGGGAAAATAAAAATGTCAGGGCTTTTATGGCCACTCTACCAAGAGTCCTAGTTTAGGACCCCATTGGGAATATGTAGAGCAAGAGGGAAGGGCTGCTGGGACCCTGAGGGCCACTGGGTATGAATGAAGTATGCTGGTTACAAGAAGTATCCTTGCTACTAGGGGTAGAATGAGCTAGAAGCTGACAGTAGGTGAGGTGAGAGTGTCCAGGCAGAGATCTCAGCCCCGCCCGGAACCCTTGTGTGCTTCCAGGAACTGCCCAAGGAGTAGGGTTAAGGGCCCTGACTTTGCTGCTGGCTCATTGGAAGTGGAGTTGTGGGTCCAGCACTTGTAAACCAGGCCAGGAAGCCTTTGGTTCATTTCTCTCAGCAATTGGTTCTTTGATCAGGGGAAGGAGCTGAGAAAAGAACCTGGGCCTTACACAAGTTATGTTGGTCACGTTCTTTAGTCTGCTGCTTTTTTTTTTTTTTTTTTTATTCTTACACCTTTGTGGTACAGTTTTGCAAGGTAATACCCCATTTGAAGATAGACACCTCCTCACAGCTTGATAGAAAGAATAGACAAAAGTGTTTGTTACATGTCTGGCTTGGAGCCCAGTATACTCTGTTAGGATAAGGTGCAGAGGGATCAGCCTTGGAGGCTTTTGGCTGTTTGCATATTTCCTGCATGCATGAGAGACTTGCTAGGTGTCTCTGGCTGCTGTTTTCTGGTGGTCAGAAGCCATGGTCTTACTGATTTATCTCCTGTTTTTCCGGTTTTGCTGCCCACCTCCAACTTGGCTGATGGGCTAAGCCTAGGAGGCTGTTGTAAGCTAGGTAAAGGAGCCAAAGACCTCTGGGAGCTCGTACCTGCTTAGTGGAAGGAAAATGGAGTCATTACTTAAGTCACTCTACTTCCTAGTTTACCTGATACAGAAAGTCTTAATTTATACCTTCTTGTTTTCCCATCTTACCTTGACTGCTGTTTCTCTGGTGTTTATGGCTGACTTTCATGTGTCCCATCCTTAAGTGGTAGTGTTCTTCCTAGTTCCCCAAGAATAGATTTTCTTGGTTTTTTGTTTGTTTGTTTGTTTGACTTTCTTGTTTTGCTTTTTGTTTTGTGTTTGAGACAGGGTTTCTCTGTATTGCTTTGGAGGCTGTCCTGGCACTCACTCTGTAGACCAGGCTGGCCTCAAACTCATGGAGATCCACCTGCCTCTGCCTCCCGAGTGCTGGGATTAAAGAATAGACATATTTCTGTGTGTGTGTGTGTGTGTGTGTGTGTGTGTGTGTGTGTGTGTGTGTGTATGTGTAGATGTATGTGTCTGCAGGTGTACCTGAGTGCACGTGCCTTCATAGACCCGAGACATTGATTGGATCCCCTGGAGCTGAAGCACCCACTGTTGTGGGTGCTGTGAACCAACTTGGATCCTGTGGAAGAGCAACACGTGCTCTTAACCACTGAGCGTCTGTCAGGTCCTGACTTCTCCACACCTGCCACCACAGGTTCCAAACAAGATGCATCGGTTATCCTTCCCTTGCCTGTCTGCTTGCTGCTCCTCTTTGGTTCACTTAGTGTAGTGTCAGCATCAGTCATTACTTGCTCAGAATTCTTTTTCAAGAAACTGCCTGTTTAATTTGATCCTTACATTGTATGTAATTATCAAACTCAGAATGTTCAGGGCTGGGGATATAGCTCAGTGGTAGGATGCTTGCCTATCATGCATGAGGTCCAAGGTTGGTTCTCTGTCTCTGTCTCTGTCTCTGTCTCTCTCTCTCATTCTCTCTCTCTCTCTCTCTCTCTCTCTCTCTCTCTCCCTCTCCCCCTCTCGTTTTCCTGAGAACTTAAGAATTTTAAATGTAATGCTGCTGTTTTAGTGGCATGTTTTCTATGCTTGCTGCTGGTTTCGTCTTGTCAACTAAGAAATGGGGGACTAGAGCATTGTTCATCTGTGTTGGTGTTTTAGTCATTAAGACAGGTTTCAGCCAGGCTTTGGTGGTATGCGCCTTTAGATGGGCCTCATTGTATATCCCTGGCTGGCCGCAACCTCCCAGTGCTAGGACTAAAGGCCTGTGACACCATGCCTCTTCCTATTGTGGTTTGGATTGATTACCACTAATAGAGCTTTATGCATAGACTATGTGTATTCTAAGGGTGACTTGACCTAGTTGGCACCAACAAAAGAGAAGTGGAAGACAGGTTAGGTTAGTTCATTTGTTTTGATAATTAGGCAAGTTCACTTACCACTGAGGTATATTCCCAGCCTCTAAAACAAACTCTTAAAAGATGGCTATGGCCAGGTGTTGGTGGCGCACACCTTTAATCCCAGCATTTGGGAGGCAGAGGCAGGCGTAGCTCTGTGAGTTCGAGCCCAGCCTGGTCTACAAGAGCTAGTTCCAGGACAGCCTCCAAAGCCACAGAGAAACCCTGTCTTGAAAAACCAAAAAAAAAAAAAAAAAAAGATGGCTATGGTGCCAGGCAGTGGTGGCTCTCGCCTTTAATCCAGCACTCGGGAGGCAGAGGCAGGTGGATCTCTGTGAGTTCAAGACCAGCCTGGTCTCCAGAGTGAGTTCCAAGACAAGCTTCAAAGCTACACAGAGAAACCCTGCCTCGACAAACCAAAAGAAGAAGGAGGAGGAGGAGGAGGAAGAGGAGGAGGAGGAAGAGGAGGAGGAGGAGGAGGAAAGAAAGGAAAGAAATCCCATGCCTTGGTGTAGCTGAGTGGTGGAGTTCTTAGCTTCCCTGTGCAGAGTTTGATTCCTAACACTGCCGGACAGGAAAAGGAAAGAAAACAGGCATGCTTTCCTCTCTTATTCTTTCTGACAATGACCCTTTCTTTTCTTTTCTTTCTTTTCTTTTCTTTTTTTTATTTTTTTTGAGACAGGGTTTCTCTGTGTCGCTTTGGAGCCTATCCTGTCACTCGCTCTGGAGACCAGGCTGGCCTCAAACTCACAGAGATGCGCCTGCCTCTGCCTCCCGAGTGCTGGGATTAAAGGCGTGCGCCACCAATGCCCAGCTTGACGATGACCCTTTCTAAATGAGGCTCTTTTCCCTTCATTTCCTCTGTCTCTCATGCAGTGCCAATTCTCTTCTCCTCCCCTCTGTACAGAGCCCCCCCACCTTTGGCTTACTATTTGACATTGATGGAGTGCTGGTTCGAGGCCACAGAGTGATCCCAGCTGCTCTGGAAGCATTCGGGAAGCTGTTAAACTCCCAGGGGCAGCTGCGGGTACCTGTGGTTTTTGTCACAAATGCTGGGAACATCTTACAACAGAACAAAGCCCAGGAGCTGTCAGGCCTGTTGGGATACAAGGTAAGAGGCAGCTAGAGCTTTGAAACTCAAATTCAGGCTCCTGTTGTAACTTCCAGCCTTACATCCCCTTCCTTAGGTTGTGGTTTGACTGTGACAGTTGGGGTCTTAAAGTTCCAGCCTAGACCTGTGATGACATCAATAGAGTCTTTACACACAGGTGTACACACATGGTTGAGTGAGCATCGAAACCCTGCCCTTGGGACTGAGGGTGTAGTTCAGTGGATAAAATTTGGACCTAGCATGCATGAAGCCCTAGAGGCAGGATCCCAGTATGGCATTACTGGCTGTGGTGGTGCACACTCATTACAGACCTTTTCAAAACTAGGCTGGGCTACACTCCATGACACCCTATTTCAGGGAGGTGGGGAGAGGACAGGAGTCTGCTGCCCTTTATATTTTAGCATTTGTTTTTGAGACAGTGACTTGTGTGTCTGTACTACTGGACACCTGGCTCCACTTCACTAATTTCTAGAATCACATCTGTGCACTGCCATACGTGGTTTATGTGCTGGGGATTAAACCCTGGGCTTCATACATGCTAGGCAAGCACCCTGCCAGCTGAGCCGCATTCCCAGCTCAGGAGTTCAGTGTATTGTCTTCATGACTCTTCTGCAAGTTTGGCCCCAGAAAGAAAAGATGGCATTTGTCCAGCATTCCACAGTACAGGTGGGGCTGTTCGATAACAGTAAGTATAAGCTGATGACAGGTACCTGAGAAGCTGAGGCAGAGGGATCGTGAGTTGTTGGTGGCTTGGGCTGCATAGTGAGACCTTGTGTCAGAGAAATAACAAAAATCCCACCCATCCACACAGCTAGCAGCTGTGCAGCTCCGTAAGTGCTGTCCTCCAAAAGCCGAGTGTCTTCCCCCCTTTGCAGTTCCTCACTGTATCCAAGATGGGTACCTGCTTGGTAAGGGTGAACTAAGTTTTGAGAAGGGGTTCTTTGTAAACAAGAGAGTCAGTAAAGGCTGATTGGTTAGGTAGTGCTGACTGAGGTTGAATCTGGGGTAGAGGCACCTTGAAACTCTTTCCATAAAGGGCCCCAAAAGCATTCTGAGGAACCTGGTGTGGTCCTGCACACCTCTAATCTTAGCACATAGGAAACTGAGGAAAGAGATTAACCACAAGTTTTAGGCCAGCCTGAGCTGTTTAGTGAGACCCCCATCTCAAAATAATAATAATTCTGGGTAAAGACTGCATTGTTGAAGATAATATAGATGTTGGAAAGCTAAATCTTGGGAGCTGAGGAGGTGGCACAGTGGGTAAAGTGCTGGGGTTTGATCTCAAGCACCCATCTAAAATGCCAGGCTTGGTGGCACTTCTGTAATTCCAGGATTGGGGAAGGGATGGAGACAACTGTATCCCCGAGGCTCACTGGCCAGCCTGTTAGCCAGTCTGGCAAAACAGGGGCCTCCAGGTGAGTGAGAGACTCAATAAGGTAGAGAGTGACTGAGAAAGACACCCAGCGCTGACCTCTGGTTCTCCACACATGCATCGCCCCACATACATATGCACACACATACACACAATACACTCTAGATTCTGGGCTGGCAGTATGAATCAACAATAGAATACTTGCTTTACCCAGCACTGGAAAGGTAAGAAAACTGGCTGGGTGTTGGTGGTGCACATCTTTAATCCCAGCACTTGGAAGGCAGAGGCAGGCAGATCTCTGTGAGTTCGAGACCAGCCTAGTCTATAAGAGCTAGTTCCAGGACAGCCTCCAAAGCCACAGAGAAACCCTGTCTCGAAAAACCAAAAAAACAAAAAAACCTGAAAACTGTTAAGGTCCAAGACAGTTTTTTTTTTTTTTCCCTTTCTTTTTGACAGTAACAAGGACAAAGAATATGTTTCCAAGTGAGGGATTAAAAAATATTAGGGGTGGGATTGGAGAGATGTTAAGAGCACTTACTGTCTGCTCTCCCAGAGGACCCAGGTTCAATTCCCAGCACCTACATAACAGCTCATAACTGTCTGTAACTCCAGTTCCAGGGGATCTGGCACCCTCGAACAGATACACATGCAGGCAAAGCACCAATGCACATAAAAATAAATAAATCTTTAAGAAAGAAAGAAATCTCAGTAGGTCTCCCAGCTGAGCCCAGCAGTGTTGGTGGTCAGATCTTATGTCTGATAATGCTTCTCTTGTATGTTGAGAATTAATTTAGGTACCCCCCACCTCCTCCCAGGGACTGAGCCCATGCTCTCATGCATGCTGGGCTAGCACTGTGTCACTGGGCTGTATTCCCAGCCCAAGGTAAGTTCTTATGCCTATTTGTCTAAGTCTTAGAAAGTGCCATGTGCTAGGAAAAGCTTTCCAACTTTGTTTTTAGACAGCGTGCCCTCCATCCCCAGTGACAGAACCCATTTACCTGTCTGCCTGTTACTTTCTCTCAACTCTATATCATCCCCTGCTTTCCTGTTTCTTGGTTGTTTCTGTAGGTGGATCCAGACCAAGTCATTCTCTCTCACAGCCCCTTGAAACTCTTCTTGCAGTACCACAATAAGCGGATGCTAGTGTCTGGGCAGGGCCCCGTGGTGGAAAACGCCAGATCGTATCCTTTTTGTTCTGAATGGAGAGGAGAGTGTGGGCTTGGGTGCCAGAGATAGGAGGTGGCCTCTTGGGGAACAAGGATAGATCCTTTGTGCGGTCAGTCCTTGTGCCTGGTGGTGCCAGGTCTCATACCACCACATCAGAACCATCTGCAGAGGTTAATATACAAAGTCCTGTGTCTTGATCTGTTATGTCTTGAATTAAAAACTCAGGAACAAATCTCGAAGTGAACAAACACCTCCTGAGGTGACTACATGTGGGAGTTTTGCTCTGGCCTTTATCCTTTTCAGCTCCCTTCCAGTCACATGTACTCAGAAAGCAAAGGACATAATCTCTGTTCGCAGGCAGCTTGTTCATGTGCCCTGGATGCTTCCTAGGCACCATGCTGGGCTGCGCTCTAAGGCAGGTCAGGGACTCAGGTGAGAGCATTGGGAATGTGACTCTTAATCTGGGAATTCATACTTGAGAAGGGAAGAACATACCCACAACAAGTAAAAGAATGTTTAAGCTAGCAGGTGTTATTGGATTCTCTAGATGAACAGACCCAATAGAATGAACATATATTATAAATGGAGATTTATTCACTTGACTTACATAGTAGAGGCTGGGTAATTCAACAGTGGCCACCTACTACTAGAGAGCCTGAGAACTCTGTAGCAGCCCAGTCCCTAACACTCGATCCTCAGCAGTCCCCCAGTCTGGCACTGTTCTTGGAGAGAGCTTCAGTACAAGCTGGAATTCCTCAGACCTCTTATATCTGGGCCACCTCCAAAAGGTGCCCTCTACTCTGGGTAGCACCCCCCACCCCACCCCCAGTTAATTTTTTCTGATTCATGTCTCTTAGTTGAATGTAGGTCCAGGCAAGATGAGAGTCATTGAGGACTGGGAAGCTAGCTCAGCTGTGAGGGCATTGCCACCATGCCTCACCACCTGTGTGTGCGGATCAGGACCCATACAGTGAAAGTGGGGCACTGACACCATGGATTTGTTCTCTAGCTTCCATAATCACCCAAAAATAAATGTAATTTTTAAAAAATTAACTATTACAGCATGGGGGGCCGAGATGAAGCTCAGTTGTAGAGTATTTGTCTGTCATGCATGAGGCCTTGGTTTGAATCCCAAGTCCCACAAAGAAGAAAGGATGACATAGGGCCAAGGAGATGGTTCAGTAGGTAAAAGCATTTGCCTCTAAGCTTAACCAGTTGAGTTAGATCTCCAGGTCCCACACAGTGGAAGGAGAAAACTGACTACCGAAGTTAGTCAGTTAGAAGTCCACTGACATCCACATGTGCCCCATCCCCAACTGTATACATGTATTTTAAAAAATTGAAAAGATGGGGTACATCTGAAGACTGCAAAGAATGAGATAGGTTGTAGGTTCTAAGTGTCAAAGTGTAGAGGGGAACTACCTCTGCAGCAGGAGGGGCCTGTAGCTTCAGAGATAGTTTGGTGGTGCCCTAGGAGATGGTTAAGACTTCCTAGGAAGTCAAGGTAGGCAGTTGGAGTCGGGCATTAGAGAGCAGAAGGGTATGCTGGGGCTGAAAGTCTGGAGTAAACTCAGAGTAGTGTTAAGCCAGTGCAGCCTCCATTGCTGCAGGAAGAAGCCGTTAGAATAATCATCTGGGGAGATTGGTTTGAGTCATCTGAAAAATTGTGTCTAGTTAAGATTTCGGGATGGAATTAGGGACAGGAAGATGGCAGCAGATCTTAGAGAGCAGGTTGGAGTCAGCTTGGTCTTGTGCATGACAGCCCCTTCCTTGCTGAATGTGTTTGACTGACTGTTGGAGGGAACTAATTCTTTGTGGCTGTTGTGTGACCTTTCCTCCAGTGGCTTAATGAACCAGTCAGTTCACTGGGTTACCTTACAGGAGTGTGGGTGAGAGGCAGTCACTTCACCAAAGGCCCACCCAAGGAGAGCCTAGGGTAGCATGACTGGTGAAGCCGCACCCCAAGCTCTGCATAGCTTGCAAGCAGTGTGGCTGGTGGGTGTCTCAGAATGCTTATATAACCTCACAGGGGAGGGAAGTGTGAGGGGATGAGAAGGGAGCTTGTGGCTCTGGTAACTTTCAGGGATTGCCACCTCCCTCCAGGAGAGAGCATTTCAGTTCAGTTACTTGACTTTGCCCAGCTCCCAGCCACAGAGAAATCTCCTGTGAGTCCAGTATGTGGGGCTGCAGTACTCATGGAGCACCAGTTTGAATGGCCCTGAGGGAGCCATCAGCTCCTGGAGTATACAGTGGGGTTTGGCCTCTGTTCTCTGGGTCTTTAGGTCTTGCTGGTGTAGGATCTGGTACCTGGGAGGTGCCCTATTAGAGACACAAGGGATTGCACGGTTATTGCATGTATCTGCTCTGCTTATGCAGTCACAGCCTGCCACTTGGTTCCTGTAGGATTTATGACAGCTGCCTGCCTGCCGTGGTCAGGACTGGGTCTGGTTCTGCTCATTTGTGACCTGATGTGTCTATAAAAGCATCTTCCTCAGAACGGTGTAGCTTTGCTTCCCTGATCTTACTCCAGACTAGGCTTCCAGAACGTGGTGACAATAGATGAACTTCGACTAGCCTTCCCAGAGCTGGACATGGTAGACCTTGCGCGGCGGCCGAAGAACATGGTAATAAGGACAGGGTGGGTCACTTCACCCTCCACAATATTCCTAGGGTCTTTGTGTGGTTGTGTTCTTATTCCTTGTGTTGGCTCTGCATGTTGGCTCTTATGCTAGGGGCATGGGTGCTTCTGCACTGGTCTTCTTGGACAGGTGTGTCTGACCAAGGATTGTGTTCTCTGGGTAGATTAGAATGGCCCCACACCCTTAATCCCAGCACACGGGAGGCAGAGGCAGGTGGATCTTAGTGAGTTTGAGGCCAGCCTGGTCTCCAGAGAGAGTTCTAGGACAGTCAGGACTGTTACACAGAGAAATCCTATCTTGAAAAAACAAAAATTAAAAAAATAAGAATAGAAGAATGGCCGAAAGAAGCAATGGTCTCCACACTCTTGCTTTCTGCTTTGCTGTAATATTTCCTCCAGTTAGCAGTGCTGTTAGTGGTAGCTGTCCCAAGTTTTCTTCAGGGAATCAGTAACCTTTGTCACTGCTGTCCCTTTACCCTGAAGCACAGTCCAAAGAGGCTGCCTTGTGAGGAAAAAAATTGAGTCTGTGTCTTCCCACTGCCCTTGGTATCTAGCTTATCTGAAAAAAAGTAGCTTGATTTCTTTTTGCAGTTCTGGTGGTCAAACCCTGGGTTGTACCTGCTTGGGAAGTCTGTCGCTAAACCATGGCTTCTTGTTTCTTGAGATCATCAGTTCCAGGCCACTCATTAACCCTTTGGAGTATGGCTCCCCTCCCATCCCCCCCCCCCAATAGAGTTTCTCTGTGTAGCTTTGTAGACAAGGCTGGCCTCGAACTCACAGAGATCTGCCTGCCTCTGCCTCCCAAGTGCTGGGACTAAAGGTGTGTGCCACCACCACCTGGCTTGGAGTATGATTCTTGGATTGCCCCTTGACCTGTTCCTTTTGAAAAAAAAAAATCTATATCTATATCTATATTAACTTATGTCAGCAATTTAGGATTTGATGTACTACAACTATAAACAAATAAGCTTACTTCATTTATTTAATAGAAAATGGATAATAAGTTCTTCCTCCAAAGCTTTCTAGTTGTAGAACAGATCCTTCGAGAGCTTTCTCTTGAGTCACTAAAATTCTGAGAAGAACTAGACTATAGAATGGGAACACATCTTGGAATTGCTCCAAGGCTGAGCCCCACACAGGAGAGGTGACTCACCTCAGAGCCAAGACTGCAATGACTCAGAGAAGAATGGCCCCAAGGTTGTCAGAGAGAAACCCTCTAGAGCTGGCATAAACATAAGAGAGCCCCTCTCTCACAGGGCACTTCCTCCTTCAGCACCCTGATTCTAGAGATCCCTGCTTGAGCAGGGCCTTGTTTTCCCGTCCTGACTGGAGACGCACAGCTGACCACTGCCCTCCTGGCCAACTTCCCTCAGCCTGTTGAGCCCAGTCTGGGCTTTGTCTTTCCCTTTGCTCATCTCCTTCCTAAGTTCTCTCTACTTCTCGGCTTGGGCTGGTCCTTGGAGGTGGTCTCTGACCTGTGTGGAACCTGTCTGTCCTGCTACTCAACTCTAGAGACTGGATACTCCAGGAGTGGAGAGTGACTAGCATTGATGGGCCTCTTCTTGTCTTTTGGCAGTGCCTGAGGAATGACTTCGCTGCCATTGAAGGTAAACGAGGCGTGTGCCTGGCTAGATGTCGGTTCCTTGTTTTCCCTCTCTGCTCTCAGATTCTTAGGCAGATGGTGTTGAGGGTGGCACTGCATATCAGGGCCTGGACACGTGGGTTCTAGCCCTGGCTGTCCTCTCAGTATCTGAGACAAGTATTGGTAATTTGTCTGTCTCCACAGTGCTCACGGTATTGTGTTGGAGAATTGTAAGCTCAGCAGCTCCAGAGTAGATAGGTACTGACAGTCTAGTCCAGTGTTGCTTAGCTCTGCCCTTGGACAACAAAGACATTGAACATCTTGTTGCCATCCTGAAGTAAAATAACTTTCCCATGACCCATATCAGAAAGTAATCAGTGGCCAGTGTGGTGGTGCATATTTGTAGTCCCCTACTTTCGGGGGCTGAGTTTTGAAGGATTTGAGTTCAAGGCTTCATAGTGAGAATCTTATCTCAAAACCAAACAAAGTATTTAGTGAGTATAATACCCTCACTGTACCCAGAGTGAAAGGAGAATGTCCTGGTGAGAAGATTGTCAATGTTTCAATATGTTATAGTTATCTGAGAAGTAAAATGATTGCTCTAAACAGAGTGAGCAGGAAATGTTCCAGCAATAGATACAGGTTGTGTTTACAGGTACAGTACAAGTATGTGGGTGGAATTACCATTGGTGCATTGTTTTCTCAATGAAGAACAATTCTTGGTAATTTTTTGTTTGTTTGTTTTTGTTTTTCGAGACTGCATTTCTCTGTGTAGCTGTGGCTGTCTTGGAACTCTCTGTAGACCAGGCTGGCCTCAAACTCAGAGATCCCACTGTTTTCTCTGACTCCTGAGTGCTGGAATTAAAGGCATGCACCACCACTGTAGATTTTTAAGAATTATTAGGAGTCTCTTGATTATATGATCTTTTTTTTGGGGGGGGGGTTGGAGACAGGGTTTCTCTGTGGCTTTGGAGGCTGTCCTGTAACTAGCTCTTGTAAACCAGGCTGGTCTTGAACTCACTCGCCTGCCTCTGCCTTCCAAGTGCTGGGACTAAAGGTGTGTTCCACCACCGCCCGGCGATTATATGATCATTTAAAAGAATTGTTAAACTGTACAAAAATATTCTGTGAGGCTGGAGAGATGCCTTAGGGATTAAGAAATCTGATGCTCTTGCAGACCTAGGTTTGAGTCCCAGTACCCACATGGTAGCTCACAACCATCTGTAAATCCAATTCCAGGGGATCTAATGCCCTCTTCAGGTGTCCACAGACTTGTACCAGGTATGCACATGTATGCACATACATATATGCCAGTAAAACACTCATACACATAAAATTAAAAATAATAATTAATTAAAATGCTTTGTGATTAGATATTAGATGGAGTTGCTGACCAGGCAGTGGTGGCACATACATTTAATCCTAGCATTTGGAAGGCACAGGCTGGTGGATCTCTTGAGTTTGAAGCCACCCTAGTCTACAAGAGCGAGCTCCAGGACAGTGAGGGCTACACAGAGAAACCCTATCTTAAAAAAGAACAACAACAACAAAGCAAAACAAAGCAAAAAAAAAAAAAAAAAAAAAAAAAAAAAAAAAAAAAAAGATGGAGTTGCTCTAACAGTTATGGAAGTGCTAGTTTTCTCCATGAATGTTGGGAGGGACCGCAGATGCTGCTACAATAGGACAGTTTTTGACTGTGTAAAGTCCTCCCCTGCGGATCGTTCAATTGTGACAATCAAAATATGTCTTCTATCTTTTAATATTAACTTTATTTTTTAAACATTTGTTTGTTTTTGGTACAGGGTCTTTCTGCATAGCCCTGGTTGTCCTAGAATTCACTCTGTAGACCAGGCCAGCCTTAAACTCAGAGAGCCTCCTCCCTCTGCCTCCTAAATGGTGGGATTAAAGGGGTACACCCAGCTTTCATTTTTATTTTTATTTATGTATGTGTCTATGTACATGCCTCATGTTTTCAGGTTCCCTGGAGGCCAAAAGAGGGTATTGGGACCTTGGAGATGGAGTCACAGGTGACTGTGACCCATTGGACATGGGAGCTGGGTGTTGAATTTAGGTCCTCTGCAAGATCAGCAAGTATTTCAGTCATTGTGCTTTCTCTCCAGCCCCTTACTTTGTTTTGTTTTTGTTTTTGTTTTTGTTTTTTTTGTTTTGAGACAGAGGTCTCCCTTTGTAGGCCAGACTGGTCTCAGCTCTGTAGTCTTCCTGCTTCAGCATTCTAAATGCTGGAATTACAGTTGTGAGCCGAGATGCCTGGCTTGAAACTTACACTTTTTTTTGGAGAAAAGATGTCGTGTAGTAACCACTGGCCCCTGATTTGTGGATAGCTGAGGGTGACCGAGCTGCTCATCATCCTGTCTCCCCCTCCTGAGTAATAGTGCTGTAGGTGTATGCCACCATGCCAGGACTTTGTTTTTATTTGTTTATTTTTTATTGCTAGGGCCGGGACTTAGGGCCTTGTTCATGCTAGGCAAGCCATACATACTGCCAGGGCCCATGGTCCTTTTCATTTCAAGTGGAGTTGAGTCAACTGAGGTTTAGCAGTGAGTAACTGCTACAGTTCCACAGAAAACTTGGCTGAGTTAGGATTAGAGCTCAGGGCTTCCCTCATTCCCAGTTCTGCGTGGCTCCATTAGCAGAGACAGCAGCAGGGGATTTGCTGCTACTGTGAAGCAGCAATGGACAGAAAGCACGGTCTCAGGGTGCTCCTTGCTGGGCCCTGCCTTTGTTCACTCAGGGTGTACTGAGCCCGGCTTGGTCAGGGCTGTTCAGGGAACTGTACTCTTGCCCAGATGTGCACCTTAGTGAAGACCTCTCTCTAGCTCTGGGCAGGAATTGCTAACTGGCCTCTGTTGTCTCTGAAGGGCCTTCCACCTACCCACTACAAAGGGCAGGCCAAGTGCCCTGCTCCCTCATCCCTGTGCATTTGATTTTTAGGGATTCTCCTTCTTGGGGAACCAGTCCGCTGGGAGACAAGCCTACAGCTGATTCTGGATGTCCTCCTTAGCAATGGAAACCCTGGGACTGGCCTGGAGACAGCTCCATATCCCCACCTCCCTGTCCTGGCCAGCAACATGGACCTCCTGTGGATGGCTGAAGCCAAGATGCCCAGGTGAGGACACAGTATCCCTGATTTTTCCCTCATAAGCCCTTAGGTACCACACTAACCTGGCCTCTGAGAGCAAGAGCTTTCAAGAGTTAACTTCATGTCAATTATGAAATTAAAACTACAGATTGCTGATCATGAAGATGTGTTGAGTGGTTTTTAAGATGTGTGCATGTACCCATACATTCATCACACAGGTAGTTACATCAGTGGGGATGAATTCAAGATTCTTCCTTCTGGTACTGACTGGTTCTTTCCCGTCACTGCTTTCATATGTGAGCTCTAGGATGGGAAAGCTGGGATTATAAATCAGGGTTATTCCCATGGTGTAGAGCCAAGAACTGAGACCTAGCTGTGCGGCACCGGTGTCCTGCCCTTTTCTGGGGCTGTGCCTCTTTTTTTTTTTTTTGGTTTTTTTTTTTTTGGTTTTTTTGAGACAGGGTTTCTCTGTGTAGCTTTGGAGCCTATCCTGGCACTCTCTCTGTAGACCAGGCTGGCCTCGAACTCACAGAGATCCGCCTGCCTCTGCCTCCCGAGTGCTCGGATTAAAGGCCACCAACGCCCGGCCTGTGCCTCTTTTGTGCCCCTCAGGGTGCCTTGCTGTGAAGCCCGCTGATAGCTGCTCTGACTGTGAGCCCAGAATCTAGTGTCTTCCTACTCTTCCAGAGACTGTGCATGGTCAGCAAAGGGTGTTCTAGACCCAAGATAGCCTCACAGAAAGAAGCAGGGTTTCCTTCCTGTGATGTTCTCTCTTCTATGATTGGATGGCACCATGTAGCTCAAGTTGACTTCAGCTCACTGTCTTCCTGCCTCAGCTCCCCCCAGTTCCCGTCACATTTAAAGTGTATTCTGTAGCATGAGGCTTGGTGATTTCTCTCTCGCTCTTTCTCTCTCTCTTTTTTTTTTTTTTTTTTTTTTTTTTTTTGGTTTTCTAGACAGGGTGTGGCTTTGAGGCTGTCCTGAAACTAGTTCTTGTAGACCAGGCTGGTCTCGAACTCACAGAGATCCACCTGCCTCTGCCTCCTAAGTGCTGTTTAAACGATTTTATTTCTTATGTATAGTGTTCTGCCTGCATGCCAGAAGAGGGCACCAGATCTCATTCCAGATGGTTGTGAGCCACCATGTGGATGCTGGGAATTGAACTCAGGACCTCTGGAAGAACAGTCAGTGCTCCTAACCTCTGAGCCATCTCTCCAGTCTGGTGTTTTCTCTGTTATTGATAGAGTTAGGGCATGTTGATTCTATATGGGATCAGATGGGAGTTTGGGTATGTAGCTGTGAACTGAAAAGCAAGGGGAAAACCACTTTATAGACCTGAGATGAGCTTCCCAATTCAAAGAAGACAGATTTGAAGGTTTTTTTTTGTTTGTTTGTTTGTTTGTTTTTGTTTTTGTGTTTTTCAAGACAAGGTGTCTCTGTGTAGCTTTGGAACCTGTCCTGACACTTGCTCTGTAAACCAGGCTGGCCTTGAACTCACAGAGATCCAGCTGCCTCTGCCTCCCGAGTGCTGGGATTAAAGGCTGGCACCACCTGTTGCTGGTTTTCTTTCCCACCAGGTTCCGCAGCCCTTCAGCCCCAAATAAACACATGGGTGCTATATTAATTATGAAACTGTCGGCCGATGGCTTGGGCTTCTTATTGGCTAGCTCTCTCTAAATTATTAACCATATCTGTTAATGTATGTATTGCCACAAGGCTGTGGCTTACCCGTAATCCAGCATGTTACTCCTTCAGCAGCATGGCATCTCTACTGCAGCTCTCCCTCCCCTAATTCTCCTCGTTCCCTAGCCCCACCTATCTTTCTACCTGGCCAATCAGTGTTTATTCATCAACCAATAAGAGAAACATATATATGGAAAAACATCCCCATCAGCCACCACTGCATGGCATCACATAATTACTTTTGTATTATTGGAGACAGCGTTTCTGTAGCTTTGACTTGTCTGTGACTCATAGCCTTAAACTCGTAATTGCCCTCTGCCCGCCTCCTGGGTGCTGGGATTACAGGTGTGTGCCACCATGCCCGACTGTTTACTCAATAATCTCAAAGTTAGCTGGAGGCAGTGGTTCACAGTGGCAACTCTGGCACTGGGAAGACTGAGGCAGGAGAACCACACGTTTGACACCAGCCTCAGACCAGCCTGAAATACAGCAAAACCCTGCTTCACAAAATAAAACAGACACAGAAAGAAAATGGAATTCTTTTGTTGTTGTTTTGTTTGAGATAGAGTCTTACTGTTTAGCCTTGGTTGGCCTGGAGCTCCCTGTATAAGCCAGGCCAGACTTACAGAGATCTGTCTGTCTCTTGGCTTCCCAAGTACCAGGGTTAAAGGCATGCATCACCACACCCAGCCAGAAAATGGAATTTGTATGTAAATGAGTGATACTGAATGTAACACCAAGCACAGTGACTATTAGGTTTTGGCTTAGCACTGAGGATGGAAGACAAAAATACTTTTCACAAGGTAGTTTATTGCTTTCTCGTTAAAAGAAGTCAGGTTGACAGTGGGGCCTGCATTCAGTCTCTCCTTATTAAGGACACACATGCCTTCCTGAAGCATAATCTTGAATCCTTCTGTGTAGAATCCAGAATGACTGCCTAAGCTATCATATTTGCATTTCAGGTGGCAGGAAGCAGTATGTAGGGCTGTTAGCTTGCAACACTGACAGAGTACCTGAGTCAACAACCTAAAAGGAGGAAGATTCATTTTGGCCCTGTTGATTTGGAGCCTGTGGGGACCGGAACACTGTGATGGGTAGAACATCATGGCACAAAAAAACCCAAAAAACCCTGCTCCCCTTGTAATAGCTGTTGAGCAGGAGAGGGAGACAGGCAGGTGCATGCTGCCAATGACTTGTTTCCTATTAGGCTCCACTTTCTGAAGATTCCACCACCTCCCAGTGTGTCATCAACTAGAGACCAAGCCTTGTTGAGTTATAGAACCATGTAAGATCCAAACCATAACAAGGACAGAGAGCAGCATGCCTTCCCTTGTTTTAAGGGCACTGAGTCACAGCTAGTCCAGCACTCCTGCTTCTGATGACTGGTTAGTGGAGCTTCCTGGTGTCTGAGACATACCTACTGTCAAGGGAGCCAGTGAGCACTCTATACCTAGTAGCCAGTATGCTCTGTTGGAAATCGATGTTCACAACAACGGGAAGGGTGACAGGCGGTGGTTATAGAAACAGCATCTAATCCCACTTAGGGTGTAGGGGCCTGGTGAGGTGGTGTGGTGGTTAAATGCCGGGCTACCAAGCCTGATGACCTACCAAGTGTGATCCTTGGGACCATGTAAAGGTGGAATAAGAGAATTGATTCCATACAGCTGTCCTCGGAGGCTCCTAGCAACACGTGTATGTAAGTAATAATAACTAGAAAAACAAAACAAAACCAACATCTAAATTGTAAAAGTGAAGCTATCAGGGTTTTGACCCTAGTTTTACTACCCTGGGAAAATTGCTTGCTCTTGCCTCAGTTCATGTGTAATGGCTGCAGAGAGGGGAATTGTGGTTGGATGCATGAAGACAGCTCAGAGAATAGCAGGTGGCCTGAAGGCTGGATTGCTGAGATCTCTTCTTGGGCAGGTTTGGTCATGGCACATTTCTGCTGTGCCTGGAAACCATCTACCGGAAAGTAACAGGCAAGGAGCTGAAATACGAGGGCATGACGGGCAAACCCAGCATCCTCACTTACCAGTACGCTGAGGACATAATCAGACAGCAGGCTGAGAGATGGGGCTGGTCCGCCCCCATCAGGAAGCTCTATGCTATAGGGTAAGCCCACTCTATCTTCATCTTCTATTGGCTTCCTTTTCTCGTCCACCCACACCACCCTGGCTTCCCTACAGCTGAGTCACACCACCCCAAGGCTGATCTCTGCTCTGGTGGCTTTACAACATTAAATTTGGGTTTTCTCTTTTTGGTATTGCTGCCCTACCAGTGATAACCCTGTGTCTGATGTCTATGGTGCCAACCTATTCAACCAGTACCTGCAAATGACAAAGCGTGGAGAGAAGGAGCATGGGGCTGGTGGACAGCAGAAGCAGCGGCCTTCAACAACCCAGAGCTGTGTCTCCATCCTGGTGTGTACTGGCATACACAATTGTCAGGGCCCAGGCCCCAAAGCGCCTACTTCTGGAGGGGCGGAGCTTCCGTTCCACGGTCACCGAGACTTCAGCTTCAGTCCAGAGCTCCTAGAGGCATCCCACGTTGTTCATGATGTGAATGAAGCTGTACAGCTGGTTTTCCACCAGGAGGGTTGGGCATGATAGCAAGGAGAAGGAGCGGAAGCAAGGGGCTGTTGGGACCTTCGTCTCAGGGACTCCTATGGGCCAGGTCACAGGCATCAAGTCCCAGCCTGGCCCCTTGCCACTGCTTCCTGGGATGAAGAAGACCACAGCTTCAGTAGCTATAGAATGATCCTTGGGCAGCATTTCAGAAGGGGGGATGGATTTCTGGCCCTTCCTGTGTGTCTCTTGAAATTTGACCTCATGTTGCTTCCTTTACCTCTGTGCCTCAGTGTCCTCCTCTCAGTAAGGACTTTCCCCCTCGAAAAACAGGGTCTCACTATTGTAGCTCTGACTGTCCTGGAACTTGCTTTGTAGAGCAGGCTGCCCTTGAACTCACAGACATCTGCCTTCCTCTGCCTCCTGAGTGCTGGGATCAAAGGTGTGTGCCACCACACCTGCCTCAGGGAGGACTTCTAAAAAACAAGGCCAGTGTAAGATTATGTGGAAGCTTCAGGAGAGCCTTTGCTCTCGCTGAAGGAACCTCTGCGTGCCAGGGAGGCATGTACTAATACTTTTGATAGTTTTCACTGTTGTAGAGTTTTGTCCACAGACTTTGTGGGCTTTTTTTTTTTTTTATTAAAAACTATCCTAATATTTGTTACGTTTTGTGTCAATGAAGCTTTGTCTGGGATATACTAAAAGTTCTGGGAGGGGGGTGGGGAGGGTACTGGATGGATGATGGATGGACAAGACTGGTACACATGGTACTCTTCCTGGAAGCAGAAAAGTTTGTGGCATTTCATTCCCTAAGTATGGTGTTTCCTCTTCTACTGCTGTCCTTGCTCTCACCCCAGGCGGGGCTCTGTCTAGGAATACATCACTCTGGCTTTGACATATGCTTGGCAACTTGGTGTCTGTGCTGAGGGCTCTTCCCATAGTGAACCCAGAAGTATGTCCTAGTATGTCCTGTCCTCAAAGCGTAATCCTACTCCAGTTCGGCCTTGTTTGTCTCTTCCATAACCTTGATATTTGTCAAGTTTCCTGGTGCTATGCTTTGAATATTGACTGCCTTTCAAAGGTCCCCAGCGTGATGCTAAGAATTAGATTTGGTGGCACATGGCATTCTTAGCATTCAGAAGGCTGAGGCAGGAGGATTTTGAGTTTGAGGACAACTTAGGACACATAGTATAATACTGTCTCAAGAAGTAAAAATTACAAACAAGCCAGGCGTTGGTGGCGCACTCCTTTAATCCCAGCACTCGGGAGGCAGGTGTAGCCAAACAAAACAAAAAAAACCCAACTAAGGACCTGTCTTACTACAATAGTCACTTGCATAGGACACAAACTCCTGACTCTGTTCCCTCCCTTCCCTCTTCTCTCCCCTCCCTTCTCATCCTCGTCTCCCTGTCTTCCTTCCTGGCCTTGAAGCCTGATCACCTGCTTTCGCCTCCCAGGTGCTGAGGTTACAGAGGTGTGCCACTCTGCTCGTTTTTCTTAAAATACTGTTGGCTACACCTGACTAACTTGTTGACACCTCTGGGTGCTTCGTTGTTTATTGGTGAGGGGGCAAATGCTATTGAGGGAGTGACCAGGGGGGTAGGAGAATGGAGAGCTAGCATCCTACAGGCTGAATGAAGAAGTTGTTGCATGCTCACTCCCTGAGGACCAGGCTCAAGTATACCCACTGTGGTCCCTCACAAATGACCCAGTTTCCCCTGCTGGCTCCCCAGGGCTCCTCATTGCCAGGGCCAAAGGCTTGAAGTCATGCTTGCGTCTCTGTTTCCCACATCAGCTTTGCTCTGGGTGTGTCTAGTGTGGGAGTGCTGCTCACCTTCATCACCTGCCCCTACTGAGGTCCCTGGCTGCTTGGGGTCCAGGATGGAATGAGGAAAAGAGAAACGCACAGGGAAAAAGCTTGGGCTGGGGAACCGAGCTCTGTAATGGAGAAGCTGCAGCACTCGATAAGCACAGCATGTTTAGCAGAGAATTGGGTTATTGCATACAGCCGAGCAAGGAGATGGGGTTATTGCGTACAGATAAAGAGGCAGAGTTCCTGTGTGCAGCTGAACAAGCAGGCAGCTTTAGCTACTCTGGGCAGGAGCAGTCTTGAGGCTGAGAAAGCTATGAGGGACATTTTCTGCAGATGTGTGAAGATCTGCACGTGGAACAGAGGAAAGCTTTGCTATCCTTCAGCCTCACCTGGGGGTGGGGGTGGGGTTGCACTTTTCCCACGGGTCTGAGGCTAGGTGTCCTTGACATGGCCAATTCATGTCAACAACACACATTAACTCAAGGGCTCCACACATTCCGGGCTTCCTCCACTCCTCACACAGCCCCTCACCTGTCTTCTTGTCTATTTCCTCCCTCTTTACCCCCCTTGCACTGTTCTCTCATTGAACCATAAATCAGTCAGGTTATAGATTGGATCTATTTTGTGATCACAACCCTCCTGTGACTTCCTCTTTCATTGAGTAAAAGCCGTAATTCCTTACCACAGCACAGCCACTTCTCCACCCTGCCATCCACCGCCTCACCTCGTGGCCCTTGCCTGCTGTGTTCCCTCATCTCTTCATGCTTCTCCACCGTGCACACACAGAGGTCCTTTGCGTGTCCCGATTTAGGGCCTCTGTCCCCTGGTCTACATCTGACTCTTGACATTCCTTTTTATTTTTTTCCCTGCTTGTGGGCCAGTCACTGCATAGACTTCTGTGACTTCCTCTAAGAAATAGCTCTCTCAGGCCTGGAGAGTTGGTTCAGTGGGTAAGAAGAGCACTGGCTGCTCTTCCAGAGGACCCAGATTCAATTCCCAGCACCTACATGGCAGCTCACAACCCTTTTACCTGTTGAGTTTTTCATAGGACTTACACTCCTTGACCTAAATATATCCTTCCTTATTTTATTCTGCTAAGGTAGAAGCTCCATGGGTTGGGGCTCCCACACAGGCATGACTGGCACCTAGCAGAATTCAGTCTAGATACATGTCCAATAGGTGGTCCTGCTGACCCTGCATGTTTACCTGTGAGGACCCCCTTTTCCTTGAGTATGCAGAAATAAAGACTGTAGGCCACCAGGAATGAATCTCAGCTCAGCTAACTCTCCAGCTGTATGATCCTGTACACTACTTAACTTTTTCAAAACTTTGTTTCTCTCAATGTGGGCTTTGTGTTCACAGTGTCTTTGCTGTGGCTTATGTCAGAAATAAATGACTTGTTGGAGGGCCTGGCATGCCCCTCCTAGGGGCTGGGCTCACTCCCTGGCTCCACAAACCTGGCATGTACTGTAACCCCATCACTCAGGAGGTAGCAGCAGGAGGATCTGAAGTTAAAGGTTATTTTTTACTACATTAACAAGTTCAAAGCCAGCCTTGCTACACAAAACCCCATCTCAAAGAACAAAGAGCTTTTAAAGTACAGAATTTCTCATATAGAGCCACTTTTCTAGGAAGTCCAGGCTCAGCATTTTGTGACTGCAAGAACAGCTCAGGGCTGTCCTTGAGGACTTGGGAGTTTGTCCCACCATCCTTGGTTCTGCACATTCCACGGAGGGGGTGGGGATGGGGTGGCGGGGAGAAAAGGGAACTGTCCAGAAATTCCCAGGACTTGTCATCCCGTGACTACAATGTGGTTACCTGGGCACCACTAACTTTAAGGGACAGGAACAGAATACAATGAAACTCCTAAGATTCAGGCTGTGGGACCAGAGAGATGGCTCGGTGGGTAAAGGTGCTTGCTGCCAACTCTGACAATCTGAGTTCCATCCCTGTGTGGGGGCCATGTGGTGAAAGGGGAGAACTGACTTCCTGCCCTGCCGTACATGTCCCTCACTCCCAGGGCTCTGGGATACAGAGTACAAAAGTACTTGTATCATTTTTAGCATGTTAAAGAGTCAGGCTCTGCTTAGCAAGAATGACAGTGAAATGCATTTGGACCAGAACCAAGCAATGCAACTACAGCACCTGGCACCTGGACAGCACTGAACTGATACTACTGCTGTTTATGTTGCAGGGGGCAGGGTCTGGTTGTGAATTCAACAATTCTTCTGTCTCAACATCCCAAGTTCTAGGATTAGATGAATGTGTTGTGATATCTGGGCTGTGATTATTTCTTTTTTTTCTGTGTCTCTCTCTCTCTCTCTCTCTCTCTCTCTCTCTCTCTCTCTCTCTCTCTGTGTGTGTGTGTGTGTGTGCTCGTGTGTGTGCACTTGTGAGTGGGCAGGGGCATGAGTCTATGTGCATACCTATATATTTCCATGGATTTGGAAGCCAGAGGTCAATGTCTGGTGTCTTCCTCAATCTTTCTCACCTTATTTGACTTTTATTTCATGTTTAAATTTTTATTTATGTGAATGGTTGTTTTGCTTACAGCATATCTGTGTGTACCACATACCATATTTTTGTTTGGTGCCTGTGGAGGCCAGAGGATATCAGATTCCCCTGGAACTGGAATCACAGATGTTAATTTCCTTGTGGGTACTGGGAGTCAAACCTGACTCTTAACCTCTGAGCCACTTTATTTTGTAATATGGGGTCTCTTACTGACCTGTGAGCTCATGGATATGGCTGGTCCGGCTGCTAGTGAGCCCTGGACTCCTATCCCCACCTTCCCACTGCTGGTTTTATAGACAGAAGCCACCACACCTGGCTCCAAATTTTGTGACATTGTATTTACTGTGTGTGTGTGTGCGCGCGCTCGAGAATTGGGGAGTTGGTTCTCTCCCACCTTCTTGTAGGTTGTAGAGATTGAAATCAGGTTGCCAGGCTTGTATGGAAAACAGTTCCCTGCTGAGCCAGCCCAGTGTTTTTAAATGACCATCAGTGGTCGTATGGTTTGGAGTCTCACAAACCCCAGTAAATGAGGCCATTCTTTCCTTTGTGTGTGTGTAAGGGGGGGCGGGTGTTACACATGGTTTCTCTGTGTAACTCTGACTGTCCTGGAATTCTCTGTAGACCAGGCTGGGCAAAAACTCAGAGATCCACCTGCCTCTGCCTCTGGAGACAGAGGCAATTCTTACCTATTCCATCTCTTACAAAGGCAGAAGCCATTCAGTTACTCATTTCAGAAATGCAAGGCATGCCATTTGGCCATGCAGCACTGGGCATCATGGTCTTTCTCCGAGCAGTGCCCTGTGGAGCCACAGTTGGGGAGCTGCTCCTTGGGCCCAGAAAATTGAGCTTGTATGGAGTGCAGCTGGATATTCAAGAGAACAGAAGGGCAAAAAACCAAGAGTGGCCATGTGAGGGCGCCAGGACTCTGGCTCAGATCCTTTGGCACAGTCCCAGGGACTGTTGTAACAGTGGTCATTTCTCCTCTCTTACTTGCTTGTATTTTGTAAAGACATCATACATGATTCCTGGTTAGGTACAGAGCTGTAGCATGTGTACTGACACGGATCTGTGGGGAAGACAGCACCACCACTCAGCAGCAGGTCAGTCCTGTCCCCAAGGGGCTTTAGCCAAAGGGAGGTGGAGACTGGAGTCATAACCATCTGCCTTCATATGTGACCCGTACATGTTTTGACAAAGTGAGAAAACAAAAGACCTCGAGGACAGCCAGGTCTATTAGATCCTGTTTCAAAAAAAACAAAACAAACACAAAAAACAACAAAATAAAGCAAAAGGGCCATATATCAATTTGAATAGCACACAAGCCTTTTAAAAA